TATGGCAACAGTACCAAAAAAACTCTCAGAAGTTTTTATATAAGTTATTTGTACATCAAAATAGACATACGCAAGATGATAAGGATGTAGGTCTGAAAATGTTGTATTCAGTATGCTCACGATTTGCATTTGAAACATATGTGAAGCAACAAAGAGACCTCATAATATCTGGAGAATATAGTGTTTTAAAATGTTTTGATAATATATATAAAGTTATACAATTAGATGATGAGGTAAATATAATGTGTGTAGTGCATATTGAAATGCCAAGTAGTTGTACATGCCTGCATCCACAGCGTACTAGAACACCATACCAACATGTAATTGTAGTATATTTATTGTGCCTGTGTACTCATGTTTTACCAAGCGAGGTTCACCAATGTTGGTATGTGCAACAAAATACAGAAGTGGATCGCATTCCACAACTTGTTACTAACATTTTCAAAAAGTTGCCAGAATGTTATTGTCGTGCTGATGACCAACACCCCTTGTATCAGTATTGCTAGGGTTAGGTACGATCACGGGTCACCCAATCGTGACTGAGTAACGTTGATGGCGTGATCAGTGATGTATGAAATTAATTTAAAGTCTAATTGTAGAATTGCATAATGTTTGTAACCCGGGTAATAATATATCCAGAGATAATCTTGTATTTAAGCATAGCAATTTCTAATAATAAAACAAGATAGAGAAGGTTTGGCTTTAGTAAAGAACGCTCGAGGTATAAACTGAGTGGTCAACATAGTAGTCTATTGGTGGTAGTATCTGGAACGATACTCCAGCCTGTGTGGAAAGCCAAGTGAGTAGAATTGAAAAGCCAAGGAAAATTCTAAGTAAAAGGAAACAAAGACCCCGTATAACTGCAATTCTCTGTGACAGAAGGACCTGGGCAGTAGAACAGCCCTACTTATCTGAAATCGTTGTATTTGAACCTCGTGGAAGCCCAAGAAGGTTGTACTTGCTAAACTTGGCCGTGATCAGTGAATTAGAGTTGTCCGGTTGACATTGCAAAGTTAGAAGCCGTGATCAAACGTTGTGCTGAGGCATATTGTTAGTAAAGAGTGCCATGAGTAAATAAGGACAATAGAAATACGAAAGGATATTGTTAGTGGATAAATAAAGATAAAAAAAAAAAACGAAAATTACCAGAGTGGTGAATTCGAAGAGGATGGAAGGTGAAAATCGTTTGTTGTTGTTAGTTAAAAGTATGATAGGATTAGTTGTTGAAGTGGTGAAGAGTTTGAAGAAACAAAAGATAAAGAAAAACGCTACAGACCTCGGCTATGTTACATTTGTAGACATCAAGGACATTTGGCCCGCTCTTGCCCAGATCAAACGAAAGGTAAACATCAGAAAAACGTTATGGACGTACGGTTTATGAAAATCATTGATCTTGAAGTTGACAATTATGAAAATGAAGATCGAATCGGAAATGATAAGAAGAAAGAATCAATAATAGGATATTTAAGAACGGAGCGACGTGAATAAAGAATGGTGCCATACCTGTAAAGTCCATCGAAAAAAGGGTTGAAGCGAATAAACTGAAAGATGCTAGAGTTAATGTCAACAAGAAGAAATATGAGACGTTTGTTCATTATCAAAAATCTGCAGAAATGGTTCACATTAGTGAAGGAGATAAACCAGTTGAACATGAAGTTCTTGGTTATACTGGTGAGGCTTTTGATGCCATAGAGGACTTCAGTAAGGACGAAAATGAAGTATTCGTTATTAGCAAAGAACCATTGATGTTGGTAAAACCGCTAGAATTGAAGTTGATAGATCCAAAAATCGGAAGTCTGCTACTTCTGATTGCGAGACAAATATGCTTCGATGGTTTTGGGAAGTGAATATTGGTCAGAAAAGTCGTGATCAAGACTGTTTCAATAAGGAAAGGTCTGACAATTCAAATGAGCAATCCAGCCTTGGAGATGGGATCAATGAAAATAAGCCAAATACTAATCTTAAAATAAAGATGCCTCTGATTAATGGTGCAGCCAAAAGTCCAGTTGAAAGTAAAGATCTCAGTGCTGATCAAACTGAAGATGATGTTGAAGGTGCAAAAGATATACTACAAACGTCCAGATCTGTGAATTATGGTATGAAAGTAAGGAAAGGCTTGAATTATGGATTGTTGTCTAGGTTCCATTATGATGTCAACCCGCGAATGGGATAGAAGCAGCATGCATAAAGCCCAAAGACCTTGTAATGGGAATCCAACTTCAATGTTGAAGGTGTTGGATCATGTCAAGAAAGTCAGATTTCTCAAGCATCTTCACTTGGATTATATTATCTGCTGTGATAGTGTGGAGCATGCGATATTTGGAAATCGAATTGACATGCGTTGTGTATGAAATGTTAGTGAAAAAAAAAAAAAAAAA